TATGATTCTATGATTCTATGATTCAATGCAAAGAAACAACCAAGATGAGAGAGCTGTAGGCAGGTGAGCCCCTGGGACTGAGCAGCAGCTACAGAAAGGCAGGGATATAGGCAGTTACGCTTAAACTTCTGTCAAAGAAGCAAAGAGATGTAAGGGACCTGGCCAGGCTGTGGCCTGTGGACTCTGGTATGAGAAATCAGCGCTGAGAATTTACCATGTTTTTCCCCCTTGTGGATCGTCTCACCACAATCTGGCCTGTAAGTGGTTTTTGCTCAACTGCAGCTGCTTGCATGTGCAGTTAGATGTAGATCAAGGCTACACTGTTAGCTGTAGAAACAGCCCTCTGACTTTTTCATCTTGCACAAAATGGTTGTGCACTGCTCCTTAGGTCAAGGGTAGAAGAGCACAGAGACTGCCGAGCTATTCGTATTGCATTTAACCGTTTTGCCTGTTTAAAAGTAGACCATGACTTTCCAAGCAGCATCACAACCTCTCCTGCCATTGCTACCCCTGCTGTATCTTACCTTTTGCTTTCCATATAGGCATTTTTCCTTCTCTTCCCTCTGCATCCATGTTCCCAGGAACAGAGAGGCGGTTCTTTTTCGGGGGTCTCCGGAAGCTGCTGCCTTGGTTACAGGTAGTTGGACGGTTAAGTGCTTTGGATTCCTGGCTTCTGCTTTAGGCCGTGGTTTGCTCTGTTGGTGGGTAGAAAGCATCTTCTGTCTATTTTGTTTAAGCTGCAGGAGTCATTGAGATGAGCTCTGTAGCCTGTGACCATCTCTTTTGTGGTTACTGGGAAGCAGGAGGCAAAGCTCCCCTTGATCTTTTAACTTGAGCACCCCTTTTTGGGCAGGTAGGGAGAGTCAGGAAGGGATCTCTGCACTCTGTGCAGCTCGGCCATTGCTCTGGGTATTGGAGCTTTGAGCTGAATATGTGATGAGGAGTCTATGCCTCTTCACTTGCCATTTCTGTTGTGGGTGTGTTGAATTGGCTTAATTGAATCATCTTTATTCACTTTCCCTCGCAAGTAGGAACCAGGTATTAATGAAATGAGAAATTATGATAAATATTAGTGATAGTGAGAAGAGGTGCATGTCCTGAGAAGCTTTCTGTCTGCACTGAACTGGAGTAGTAGAAGGTAGGTTTGATAGTGAAAACATTTTTTTTTTTTTTCTTTTATTATGCTAGGCCAGAACGGGATTAACAAAGTTAGCTATCTGAAGGGAAAATCAGGTGAGAGTCTGACTGTATTCAAGTCCATAGTTAAGACTTTTCTCCAAATTTTGTTTTCATCTGTGAGAAAACAGCTGTAGTTTATCTAATTATGGGCTGTAGTCAATATTCCTCCAGGAATTTTCTGTATTCTTAAAAAAAAAAAGTTTTAATTCAGTAAAGTCCTGATGACTACACTTGACAGCAGTGCTGCAGCCTTTCAGGGGGCTGAGTTTTGGGTAACAGCTTTTCAGCTTGGGGCATACCTACCACGAACCGACTTTCAGGAGTTGTTCAGTGCTCTAGTTCTAGTAAAAAGAGGTGGTCCTGCTTGTGACTCAGCCAGGTTTGCTGTTAAACGCAGGCTCTCTAGGTTTGTGAGTGATGGAGTGGTAAACTTTAAAAACTTCCTTGTTGGCAGCAGCTACATTGGCATTTCAGATCCGGCTTCTTAATTCGGTGATGGGTGATTTTTAACTACCAAAGGGCTTGTGGTCATTAGAGAAAACGGCAACTGGCCCATAGCAAGGTACAGTCAGAAAAACACAGTGTGGTCATGCTGATTACGCAGAACAGGAAACTAGTGATGAATAGAGGAGAAGGAACTGCTGGTGTTTAGTCTGAAACGGCTGCAGGGCTCAGCAGGATGAAAGCACAGCTTATCCAGGTCTGTCCAAGACAAAGCAATAATTTATACTTAATGTAGTTTGGCCAATCAGCCAGGAAACACTGCGTAAAATTTGTCATTGATTCTTAAATGTAAGCAGTGATGAAATACCTTCACAGAGAATGGATATCACTCGCTAATGGATTGTGCCGCCCCAAAGAATAATGACATTTAGTTCATTCATGCTCATGGTGTTGTGTCATCGTTAGAAAAACGCTGGAGGAGGGACTTTCTTTTGTGAAATGTCTGGCATTCATAGACATTCATTTTAGACAGTTGGATGATGGTTTTTACGTTCTGCGTATATTAACTGCTTACTAGCTAGGACCCAGCTTTTCTTTCTCAGTGAGGAAGTTTTCTTGCGTCTGGCTGAATTTCTTTAAACAAACAATTAAGGAAACTTAACATACTGCAGAATAGGCTAGTCTAACTGAATTGAAGAAGATGCGAACCAGTCTTTACGGCTGTTCTTGGTAATCTCTCAGTAGAGGGAAAAAAAGAGGACTGTTTTCTATTTTATTACTTGGGAGAATTAGAGATTAGATGAAATCTAATGGATGAATCAGCACCATACATAAAAAGCACAGCCTTCAGCCCACTTCTAGAAGGTGACAGAACCTTTACCAGCTATTTTTGTCAAAGTGCCAGGTTGAATAAAGCGCTTTACAGTGCAGGACAAATAAACTGGTAATATTTATGGGATCTGGAAGGCTGTATTAATTTTCTGGATAAACTGGTTGTGTTTAAGCAAAAACTGTTTTTCGTAATTCTTGCCATTCTTCTGAGTAAAATTTTAAACAGAAAGCAAATTTTGATAACCATGAGCTGTCCCTGATGTTTAGGTCCTTCCTACATACCTTACAGGAGGGAGATCTGGTTTTAACTCACTGTGATTTTTTTAGCAGGGCCCGTTAGAGAGCACTGTGGCCACTAGCATATTAGGCACTTTGATTGAATCTCTCAGCTTTTTGCAAAGACACATCATGTGTGCAGGGACTCTAATGTGACTTAATTTCCCTAATGAAGCCCTTCACTGCTTAGATAAAGACTGGTCCTCATAGGAGAGAAAACGATGAATACGAGAGATGATCAGATGGACAAAACATCGACTGAGCTTTTCACTTCCAGCCAGAGGCACAGCAGGGTGTTCGGGCAGTTCAGTAAGACGGGGAGTTGGGGCTTTTGCTCCTGCATCACTGGAAGTGTGCTTTCCTTCTGCAGCAGTCAATCGCCTCTTTAAAGGATCCCAGTCGGATTGGCCGTGGGTACTTAGATCCGTTTGTTTGGAGCCGATTCCAGAATCCCTTCATCACGAAAGCAGCTTACTGAACTGGCAGTATTATTTTTCTACGATGTCCTAATGTGGCCAAATAAGCAGATGCAGTGTGAGATTTTCCCCCCCCCCCCCCCCGCAC